TTCTCACTACTTCGGGGTTTGCAGGAGGAACGAGGAACTCAAGGGTCAATGGTGCCATGGTGAAGATGCCGGGTCGTGGCTGAGTCTTTGCGTCTTGCGGATTTAGGGTTTAGGGTTCTCGGGTTTAGGGTTTAGGGTGTCTAGGGTTTAGGGTTTAGGGTTTAGGGTTTAGGTTTTAGGGTTTAGGGTTTAGGGTTTAGGGTTTAGGGTTTGGGGTTTGGGGTTTGGGGTTTGGGGTTTGAAAGGCCAGATGCCTTAGCGGCTGGGAGTTCTGCACAAGGGATGACTGCCACTAGCTCACTTCTAAGTTGGCCGTTGAAACCCTCTGAAAGATCTTGAACGCAATAAGGGAAAACGTACGATATCCCAAGGGCCTACCCTAAACCCTAAGCATACATGGTAGTTGTTCGAAGCATAAATAAATATAAATATAAATATAAATATAAATATAAATAAATATATATATGTATATATTTATATACACACCTGTCCCCAAGAGTACAGAAACAGAGCCAGGTCATCCCTTTGAAGGGTCTCTTCTCCCATGGCCCGTGCCTTAAACCCCCCCCAAAACCCAAACCCCAAAACCCTAGACCCAAAACCCTAAACCCTACACCCTAAACCCCAAACCCTAAACCCTAAACCCTAAACCCTAAACCCTAAGCCGACCTTTAGGACGACCCTCATAGAATTCAGGCACCTGCAGGTCTGTTGAGCGGTTTAGGGATTACAGGGTTTTAGGGTTTAGGGTTTAGGGTTTAGGTTTAGGGTTTAGGGTTTAGGGTTTAGGGTTTAGGGTTTAGGGTTTAGGGTTTAGGGTTTAGGGTTTAGGGTTTAGGGTTTAGGGTTTAGGGTTGACTACTTAGGTCTTGTAAAGGCGCATTCGGCCATTCTAGTCCGGCTCTTCTGCTGTTCGGGATGCGATGGTGTGGGGTTACGGTTAGGGTTTAGGGTTTAGGGCCAAGCTGCGATTCCCCTGTGCCAACCCAAGGTGTACCTAGAGTAACCTACACATGGCCCCCCAAACTCTACATGATGGTCCCTCTTGGTGAGTCTATTTTTACTTCCGAGCCTTATATGTAATACATATATATATATACAGGGCTCATAGTTTAGAGAACTACCCAAATGTACCTCCATTTATTCTGGTTGCTCTAGGTACATCACTTGACCTTTGCCCAGGAGTTCTTAGCAAGTTCGCGAATTCCCTCTAAGGAGCCAGTAAGTTGTTTTAGGGTTTAGGGATTAGTTGGGTGATATAGGCGGCGGCGCTGCTTCAGACACTCCTCGTATCCTCCCGTCATTAAAAATGGCCATGAGGCTGTCCCAAAACATTGAGTCAGCTCCCGTTGCTTGACAATCGGGAGCCTGAGAAGTGCGATCTACAAGTGACCTCCTTACTTTGAACAACTATTGCGGGAATCTCTAAATCATGGTCCCCTTGTGGGTACTTATTCTGATGCAGGCGCTGTCTTACAGCATTTGGGTACCCGAAATGGGACCTTAACAACGAAATGCGAGAACTGCTCATCTGTGTGTCTACGCTGCTCCTGGGCACTCACTGCCATACTTGAAGGTCAAGTTAATGAGGTCGCTCAACTGGTCAACCCATGTCTGAGTATGCTCTATGCTAACCGCAGCGCCGGATGGAAAGAGCCACGCAAATCCAACCTCCCAAGAGTTCTCCTTTGAAAGGAAATGGAGGTCAGAATCTGTAACTTCCGGAGCACTGTTCCGCCATCCGCGACCAACAAAGTCATAGGCAGTGACCACCCCATTGCTTATCGTCCAGTTGTTGTCATAAGGCCTGCCAACGTGCTCACCAATCCCATAGCCTGCGGTGTTGGTAAGCACTTCGACGGAGCTCGCGGGCCCAGTTCCTTCTGACAATCCACGGATCACACCCGTGATGTTGCCTCCGTCAAGTTGGAGCGGCGAAAGCCGTTTAAACCTGTTGAAGGAGAAATACACGACGGACGGGCATGCCGTGGTCGTCGTTGTCGTGGTCGTTGTCGGGGTGATTGTTGTTGTCCTCTTGTACTTCCTGTGGGTTCGGTGATAACCATGGATGGCACACTTCCGCTTGTGTCTTCGCTTCCACCTTGGCAATGCGCACCTCCACTCGCGCCCTGGTTTGTGCTGGTGCTTCTGCCTCAACCGCCATTGCTCGCCCACCGCTTCCTTAACTTGCAGCTGCATGTTGGACACCTCGTCTGCGAGCAAACATGACATTGCCTGTGAATGTGGGCACGTGCACAAAACTTGCCCAATCGCAGCCAGCAGCAACGCTGGCACCAGAGCCATGGACTCGTCGCTATTTAAAACACGGGTACGGTCAGGCTGTTGAGCCCATTTTCAGAGTATCATAAGAGCTCATGACAGCACTGGGCATGAGCTTCTCTACGATGTTCCCCAACTCTTTAGCTCTAACGTTCTAAGGGTTGCACCATGAACCCTTGTAAGGCTTTTGACGACCCTTTTTCAAGATCCTTATAAGCTATCCCGATCGAGCCTCAGCTTGTGTTCAGGACCCGAGACTCAAAAGACCGAGCAGGAGTCCCAAAGAGAGAGCTTATAGGGTTTAGGGTTTAGGCTTTAGGGTTTAGGGTATAGGCAGAATACGGATTCAAGTGTTTCTTTGGGGGTGCTGCGAAAAAAACAAAGCTCGTCTTAAACGACTGTCCTTCCAAAAACGACCCTAAACCCAAAAGACCCTAAACCCAGAGAACCCCAAACCCTAGGCCCTAAACCCGGCCTGCTGCATTTGCTGCTCTTGCTCCAGGCGCAAGGCCTGCACAGCGAGCTTAGGGGGTCATGGTTTCTGGGGCTTGGGACCCTAAACCCTCAACCCTCAACCCTCAACCCTAAACCCTAAACCCTAAACCCTCAACCCTAAACCCTAAACCCTAAACCCTAAGCCCTAAACCCTAAACCACAGGATCTGGGGCTCTCAGTGCACACGCCAGCTCGTGACCCGGAAGCGCAGCTTACGGTCTAGGGAACTGGGGCATGCAGGGGCTAGAACTTGCTGTAGAGCGCCTTTAACCCTAAACCCTAAACCCTAAACCCTAAACCCTAAACCCTAAACCCTAAACCCTAAACCCTAAACCCTAAACCCTGGGTCACCCCCGAACCCTATTGCTATCTACTATCTACTATATGAGGCACAGTCACATGAAGAACGCCACGACGCCACGCGACACACATGTGGGAGTCGGCCCGGGAAAGCCAATCTGTAGGGCCCACGACGCGCGCTAAGAACGTTGCCACACCCTTAAACCTAAACCCTAGACCCTAGCTCCCACCCCCCCCCACCCACCACAACCCTAACCCGAAACCCCAAAACCCTAAACCCCGAAGCCCTAAAACCCTAAAACCCTAAACCCTAAACCCAAAACCCTAGCACCCTAAACCCTAACACCCTAAACCCTAAACCCTAAAACCCCAAAACCCTAAACCCCCTAAACCCTAAACCCCAAAACCCTAACACCCTAAACCCGAAACCTTAAACCCCAAACCCTAAACCCTAAACCCCAAACCCTAAACCCCAAAACCCTAAAACCCCAAAACCCTAAGTCTGTCTTCCCGAAGATGCGCAGTCGCCTCGGCCAATTCCTCTTCCTCGTTGGGCAGCTGGGCTTCCTTCCACCTCTCGATCCTTCGTGCCGTCTTGGGGTTTCTAGGGTTTAGGGGGTTCCTGGGGTTTAGGGTTTAGGGTTTAGGGTTTAGGGTTTAGGGTTTAGGGTTTAGGGCTATGGGTGGGTAGCTCCGGGGGTTTAGGGTTGAGAGGGTTTAGGGTTTAGGCTTTTGGGGATCAGGGTATTGGAGGGCTCAGTAGCATACAGCATAGCCCGCTGCCTAAAGCCTCTCCTCCATGCCCGGACCCATTTAGAAGCGTGGTTTGGGGTTTAGGATTTAGGGTTTACTGCACCGTTGTTCGGGGCACCATTTCAAAATGATCATGTTTGATCCCGACTGGGTTTCAGTATTCATAAAGATGAAAAGTGGTTTTCAACAATGACCCAGTTAAGGGTTGGTTCTTGGCGACTAAGCTTGGGCAGAAGACGGCCCCCTAAACCCTAAACCCTAAACCCTAAACCCTAAACCCTAAACCCTTTGATGAAGGGTTTGGGCATCAGTCTGGGAACCCATGGAAGTGTGGGAGGGGAAGAAGACGATGTAGTGACGCACTTGAAGCAACATATCATCCTCTTAAACGCATTCCCCAAGAGGACACCACACATTGTCACATCTACCCTCACCCAGTATTTCTAAGGAATCCGATCTACACTCACCAAAGCCCATGAGCGTTTGAGTAGCTTGAAGCCCTAGCTATACTGAAGCAACCCCACCCTCAACCCAAGAAGCCTCGTATACACAATTATTATGATGATTATATATATATATGTATAATATGTTGAAACATGTAATACTTATACGTTACATGCTACACACCATACATCGCGATATAGGAAGTGGCTTGGCGTAGAGAACGCCCGCATTGCCCTCGACTCAAGCACCCTCAACCCCCCCCCCCCCCCCCCCCCCCCCAAAAAAAAAAAAAAAATAATAATAAATAAATAAAATAAATAAACAATAAATAAACAATAAATAAACAATAAATAAACAATAAATAAACAATAAATAAACTCAAGGGGTATAAGGAGGGGCCCCTAGAAGGGGTTCCTTTGTCTTATTCCCCCTAGATAACCCCGAAATAGAGCTTCTATAGTCCCTATATACCTAAGTAGCCTCTAGGTCCCTCCTTTAGTCCCTTGATACACACAGGAATTCCAAGCCCCCGAAAGGCCCCAAATGCAATCAGCCTCACGAACACGCCCCAAGTGCCTACTATTGAGGTACCCAAACGCCCATTAGGCTTTAGGGTTTAGGGTTTAGGGTTTAGGGTTTAGGGTTTAGGGTTTAGGGTTTAGGGTTTAGGATGCTTGTGAGAAGGGTCTAGGGTTTGGGGCACCCTCGAGCAAGGATGTCGGTGCCAAAGGGAACCAGAACTCCCAAACTCCCTACTAAGAACTACCTGCAACAGAATCCCTAAACCCTAAACCCTAAACCCCAAACCCCAAAACCTAAAACCTAAAACCTACACCGGCAGGTGAAGTCCACCCAGAAAGCCAGCTCTTTGGTGCAGTTCCGGGCCTTCGGTTGCCCGCCATCACCTCCACAATCTTAGGGTTTGGGGATTGGGATTTGGTTGAGGGTTTAGGGTTTAGGGTTTAGGGTTTAAGGTTTAGGGGGTTCAAGATTTTGGGTGGTTAGGCTTCGGTTCTGTGGAAGCCTAGAACTTAGGACTCAGGGTGCGATCGGCGCTCTGAGGCTGCTTGGGATTGATGGTGCTTCACGTGGCACCTGCAAGGTTTAGAGTTGGGTTTAGGGTTTAGGGTTTAGGGTTTAGGGTTTAGGGTTTAGGGTTTAGGGTTTAGGGTTTAGGGTTTAGGGTTTAGGGTTTAGGGTTTCGGGTTTCGGGTTTCGGGTTTCGGGTTTGGGGTTTGGGGATTGGGGATTGGGGTTTGGAGTTTGGGGTTTAGGGCGTAAGGCTCAGGGCTAAGGGCATGGCCCGTTTGAGTACAATCTCTGTACGCAAGGCACCTACCAGCAACGCTGAGCTACGTCCCCGGAAAGGTTAAACTTTAGTCTGTCTGGGGGGATGTAGACTGCTAGGGGGGATTTTGGGGGAATGGGGATCTAGTGAGTTGGGTGCGCAGACCCTAAACCCTAAACCCGGGTATCTACCCTACACACAAAGCGGACTCCCACCAGAGCAGGCCAAGTCTGAAAGGCCTTGCCCGAAGACTCCAATACTCCACTTATCAAGGGACTAAAGGAGGGACCCTTACAAGGGACCTTATGGACTAGATAAGGGTTATTTAGAGGCTACTTAGCTATACAGGGACTACATCAGGTAAATATATAGGGGTTACATGGGGGATACGATTAAGGGTCCCTTCTAGGGGTCCCTCCTTATACTCCACTTAATCTGAGTGGTGCTTCAAAGCCTTTGAAAATTATTTATGAGCAGGTTTCCGACAAAGGGGAAAGAAGGGAAATCTAAAATTGTCCCAAAGCACTACCCATTATGTAAGGGCTCTTCTTTAAGTCGGATGATGGGATTCTTCAGGATGATCCTTGAGCAAAGGCTATTCCATGAGCCAGGTTCCAAGACACCCCGAAACCCAACAACGCCGAGAGCCCTAAACCCTAAGCCCTAAACCCAAAACCCAAAACCCTAAACCCTAAACCCCGCCTGCTCCTCCACGCGCTGGATTTCTTCAGTTCGGGCATGCCCCAGCCCGAAAGCATTGCTCTTCTGGATGCTGACCTGTTGAGGGTTTAGGGTCTTTAGGGTTAAGGGTTTAGGGTTTAGGGTTTAGGGTTTAGGGTTTAGGGTTTAGGGTTTAGGGTTTAGGGTTTAGGGTTTAGGGTTTAGGGTTTAGTTTAGGGTTTAGAGCGCTGGAGAGGAACCTAGGAATACAAGGGGATGCCCTTTTGGGGGTTTACAGGGGGTCGTAAGGGCACCTTGATATCAAAAATAAAGTTCTTAATATGAGGGCCTATTATTCCCTTATGGTTCCTATATAATTATGTTATAATAACCCCGCGGCCTCCCCCCCAAAGCCGGTTCGAACTATAAGCCCCCTACGAGTATAATACTCTGGGTCAAGTAGACCTAAGCCCTAAACTAAACCCCAAACCCTTGCCCCTATTAAGGTTCCTTTTCGGGAGATTCGACTCCCTTGTGGATATCAACGCGGGACTTCTTTCTTCGGAGCTACCCGCATGTATCCCGTGCTAGACGAAACAAAAGATGGATCTCCTAACTAAGCCCGAAACCCCATACCCTAAACCCTATACCTTAAACCCTAAGCCTATTTCAAAGGCCTTGGAAGGGTCTATTCGTAGAGCCGTGCCCGTCGGGTCCAACACATCCACGTTGCCTCGTGCTGGCAACATGGGGCGTGGGGTTTAGGACGTTTCTGCTTCGGGGTGCTTGAACCTTTGAAACAACCACAGAAACAGCAACAATGTGGTAAAGGGACACTAGGATGGGGAAACTGAGTTAAAGGCCCTTCAGGGGGATGGCAAAATACTATATCAAGAAAAGGACTGGTACAAGCTTCCTTCTGAAGAGGCTCTTACGAGGGAAAGTGTCCTAGATTAACTAAGGAAGATTATCAGGAGCATCCTGCGAATCCTTAGCACATTCTGGTCTCTGGGAGGTGGGTGGGTGGGTCTTCTTGAAGGCCTTGGGGGGCTCGGGTGTGTGGATGAGACATGTGTGATACAGG